TTTTACTAATTTTTTCTTTTTCTTGTTCAAGGGGCCGTCTCGAAAAGTCCACTAATTATGGGAAACGACATGTCTAAGTTAACGCCGAGCGACTATTCCATCCTTGCTAACCAGGCAATTATTGCTGTCAATCAAGATCCACTGGGAGTTGCAGCGACCTACCGTTGGACCCGCAATAACGTTCAGTTGTGGAGTGGCCCACTGGCATCTACCACTGGAAGGTCAATTAACGATATGGTTTTCGTCTTACTTAACACTGGAGGCTCTAGCACGACAGTATCTGTCACACTTTCCGACGTATTTGGTTCTTCGAATGTCCCTGCATCTCAGTTCGAAATCAGGGATTTGTGGGCTTCAAGGCTGAGTGACACCCAGGCACGGACTATTCTCAGTGATGGTGCTTCTGCACATCCTTCCTGGCTTTATAACGCAACTGCCCAAAGTTACTCCACGGGTCTCTCAAAGGGAGATTCTATGCTGCTTGGAGCGGTTGTTGGCACTGTTTCAGGAGCTACCGGGACTATTTCTCAGTCTGTCCCCGCGGCTGGATGTAGAGTTTTTAGACTTCGTGCCGTCTCAGGCACAGGCACAACGACATCATCCGCTCCATCTACAACTACTACCTCTACCCAACCTCAACAGACGAAATGGGGACAATGTGGTGGTCAAGGTTGGACTGGACCTACTCAATGTGTCCCACCTTCCAGTTGTCAAGTGCAGAACCGTAAGTTTATGAATTGTTGACAAAATTGAAATCACCTCCAGTACTAACCTTCTACCTTCTCCCAGAGTGGTACTCACAGTGTCTTTGATCAAACGATGAATAGTTGCAGCGGTTTGTGAACTAGCCTGTTATCTAGGCTTCTCAACGACCGTTTATGGATTGTGGGTGAAACACTATTATATTTGAGGATCTTTCGCGGGAGGGGGTAGCGAAAGTCTCCATAGTGTCACTTTCGTAATATCAGATTCGACCTAAAGATCGTTGAATTTGTTGACCTCCTTTTCGGTCTTGCATTGAATCTAATTCTATTTAGCAAGATGTAATTGGAATTATCTATCACCTGAAGAGCTGGCGCACGAGGTGCAATTGCACTGGACAGGAGCCTAGGACACGAGAATCCCCATAACTATTCAAACGGATTAGCTTTTGGCCCCACTGCAAACCACCCGCTGCTAATGAAATGAATTTGAGATCACGAGGGGATTCTGGAGAGCGGGAAGTACCTCGTCGACGGCCTGAGACGCCTTGATCTCGAGTTTCGCCTAATTATTCTTTCTTCCACAGAGCTCTGACCTGCGTGTGGCATGAGGCTGTATTTCCGCAGCAGCTCCTTGCTGAAAATAAGGAAGGATTTGTTAAACCCTATGGACAGAATCATATAGTCCGTTTGAAATACAGTCATTTTTGGAGATGGACCGTGCTGTCAGCGCTGAAGGACTCAATATCGGTCCAGTGGACGGTGGTATTCCCCGCGTGGAAAGGAGTACTTGGCGCTACCTATGACTCTTGCCGCCTGTAAATCTAGCGCGGTACGTCAAGATGCTTGCCTGTCTCGCAGGAGGGGATGATAGGTGCACTGAAGCTGGAGGCTTTGGGCAGACAGGTATGACTGGATGCAACGTTGCCCGGAGGCGCTGATGAGTGCCTCACACATAATGGCAGGCTTATTGGGAATTTCAAGACGCTAGTTTCCACTGGTGAGTTAAAAGATATTAGTCACTATTATTTGCAGGCAAGCCTTTAAACTAGATTAAAGTCTAAGCGAAGTCCTTCAAGTAGGTGTGGATGGTATTACCTAAGATAAATCTATCCTCCACGACACCGTCATTACGCGTTAGAAGGAGTATTTAAACAGTATCAGTGATAAACGTCGGCAACCACCAGTCTTCCCCCAGGGGCCGCACCTCATTCATTACCCGACAAATCCCTCTCAAACGCTATCTGGTTAACACTCCCCCTCTCTAACGGAATCTTTATCCCTCACACTATTACAATATTCGGTAGATAATTGACTGACGATTGATAGGACGACTACTGTACATAGTCTGAATGTCGCAGACACGGCCGGTGATGATGACAGCCTGATGGCACAATTTGCAGAAATTGCATCGATAAAGAGCGTCCCGTATCGAGCGAGTTGCTCGGCTGCTCACGCTGGCGGACTTCATTCGGCAACTCCGTGATTGGAGGCTGGCTAAGAAGCAAACCGATCACAATATTAGGGAAAGTCCACTTGGCACCCGGCGTGTTAGGTCCCAAAGCTTACACTACGGTGTACTGCGGTGATCATAGATTTGAGCAGTGGAAATGGCACGGTGAGGATAGTACGCGGGGAGAGAAATGCCGAGATCTACCCCACTGGTTCACTTGGACATCGTAGAGTCATTATGGTTCTACTCGAACCTGGCGCTCACTTTGTTATAATAATCCTAAAGCGCTTTATAAATAGCTATACAGTAACTTATTATGGGTCACAAGATGGTGATATATGGTGCAGCCCTTCTAGCAAAGGAAAACTATGATCTATGCATAGCTAATAAAAAAAAGGAGAAAAGGAAGCAATCTAGATGCTAGATAACTCCTAACACAGGACTCTATGTAACGTAATCGGACACCGAGCGAGACACGACACCGAGCGAGACACCTGAACGTGATTTTAACCGAAGCCGCAAACCATGAGATATCTTACTACCACGCAGTCAAATTAAAGCAAAAGTTATCAAATTACCTAGTTCTACTGGGACAGCTTGTTCTAATGTGACCAATTTAATGACAGTTACTACATCGTGGTGGCGCATACTTTTTACAAACTGGTTCCACCAATTCCATAGCCTGTAGAGCTTCTTGAGTAAGTTACTAACCTTCAGACCCTGTCAAGACACCCCCAGTAGCAATATAAGATCTAGGGGCTGTGTGCTTTTGCTTTTACCTTTCATTTACTGCACGAAGCTCAATTACCTAGTGCTGTAATAGAATAACTTCATGCATAGTAGTTTCAGCTGCTTTCACTAGCTGACGGATAGCCTCAGTTGGGGGACTTTGGGAGTTATAATTAATAAGCTGCTTGATAAGCTCCATCTGCTTTTGCACCTTAGTAGAGGTATAAGGGGTCTTTACAATCCATTCACCCTCTGGAGGTCCATAAGCAGTATTTAGGGGGGTAATATTCTTAATAGTAAGCTTATTTAGCACCCTTTAGTGATTTAAAGGAACTAAACCAGAAGCTTTAAATCCACTGTGAATATTCTTGGATGATAAGGCCTTCCGTGATTCTTTATAAAGATTAAGAAAGTTTTCCTTATTAATATAATGAATGCCATTCTAGATGCTTCTCATCACCGCAGCACCATATGCCTCTTTTAGTGGTGCAAAGCAGGCAACATCAAGAGGTTGTAGTTTATCAGATAAATAAGAAGGCATATAAAGAGGGATAATTTAATGGTTCTTGCAGAAAAGATCAAACTCTGCAGATTCATGGCTAGCGTGGCCATCAAGGATCAGAAGCCAATATCTTCCTAGGGTGTGTGTTACAGTATGCTTCTCAAAGATCTTTTCTAACCAGAATAAACCAAGCTCATTATTAGTCCATCCATTATCACTTAGACCAATCACCCAATCAGGGTCGATATCTTGATACCATTAAGATTGATGGACCTTGCCAGAGAAGATGATTATAGGGGGGAGAGACCATCCAGAAGCATTAATAGATTTAATAATAGTCACCCATTCGCGATTCCCTGGCTGTACGGCCCGTACACGGCTTATTCAGTGACAAGATGCAGTAATAACCTTTGCTGTAGAGGCTACACCTACACCCATTTAAAAGCCAGTTTCATCAAAGTTGTAGATATCCTGTTCAAGAATACCATATTTCACTATAGTATTCTAAATAAGATCAAACCATTGGTTGATGACTTCTGGATCTTCGCATTTTGTACATTGGTAATCATATTTGCAAGTGTATTTGGATATAAGTTCATCATGTTATTTAATGAATCTAGTGATCCATCTCTCACTGACTGCTTCCCCCTTTCGCTCATGGAGTAGTAAATCTGCCATTTTACAAACTGCAGTATGTGTTGGTGGTAGTCCTCACTTATCTATATCCAGAATCCATTTCTTTAGGGAAGCTTCTTCTAGACTGCTAAGCTTCTGGCAGTTTGCTGGTATGTTAGTCCTTGCTTTTCGACCCTTGATTCGATGGGCTAGAGTAGAATGTGGAACATTATATGCTGCTGCTGTTGCTTGTATACTTTTAAACTGGCCATTTTGGTATGCATTGACAGCAAGTAATATGCGATCTTCTAATTTGACCGTTGAATCAGTTTGTTTTGATGCCATATTGGATGGAAACCTGGATCTGATGGTGATTTGGTGGTTGCAGGGTTTCAGGGGTTGAAGGCTGTCTCGCTCGGTGTCATGTCTCGCTCGGTGTCCGATTACGTTATAGGAAGCTGGGGACCTCATCTAGGCAAGAGACGAGCAAAATGATATTAGGGCATTATCTATTAATTTTGCGTCTTTACTAGCACCCCTAAAACACTCTCCACCTAGGTGTTTAGATTGCTTTATTATAGGGCATACCAGAGTTAGATGCCCTACATGTAATACTAGCTCGACCTAATGGAGAAAATGTATTGTTTTGGTTGGTTTGGATAGCTTCAAAGGTGCGAACATGTTGAAATTGGGTGAGAGGTGGCAACTCGGTCGGGAATTACGTTACTGTGTGGCTTGATATCGTTGTGAGTTGGCAAAATTCAGTGCAGGGGAATCCATGCCTCATGTCACATCGTCCGTACATGGTGCCTAATTTATCCGAGGAAATGAGTTCTAACAAAGTACCAAACGCGAGACCCCAGGCCCAACAAAGCAGAAAAGCCGGCTGCCGCGGGGGAGCGAAACCGTGATTTGTGGAGATCGAATTCAAGTCTGACCACGGCCTTTGACTCTCTCTCATGTTGGCCTCACTTGCGATCTGCCCCTCTACACATTTTCAATGAGCGCTCCTTTCCGGCGCCGAAACGGTCGCAAGGCCGCCTGTGAGGCCTGCCGAAGGCGGAAATTAGCATGTGACCACAGTTACCCTACATGCCAGCGATGTCAGAAGCGCTCAATGACATGCGTCTATTTTGAGCGTTCCTTGGCAGACAAAGGAGTAGAAAGGATCACCGAAGACGTAGGACAGGCCCTCAGCCGGTCCAGTGACCCAATCTACGCGCCATTTGCGTCGAAGAATCGGCGGGCTCTACAGCATACCAGACCCGTGATCGACAGCCCAACGGAGTATCTGGGTCCGACAAGCTTTACGTCAGTTTTTATGGAGCATGGTGATCGGTTTGAGTTGGAGCCTGCAGTTAGAGCATCAGGGAGTCAGGCTGACTGTGTCACTGATCCTGATCTGAGTTCGCCTCCACACCCGAAGTGCGCTACGGACAGGCAGCGGCTGCAGCTTGCGGCGGAAGTTCTACAACAGATACCCGGGGAACAGGATTGCTCCAGTCTCTTTTCGAGGCATGTCAACCCAAATGATGGCTGGATTCGACTAGCCGCCCATCACTCGTCAGAGAGGATGTGGAATGCACTCCGCCCGGCCCTAACCCGACGGTCGACAGACGACTTGCTGACTCTGGCTGCCCATATTTCAGCAAATAGCAAGGCAGAATTGAGGGAGAAGCACCATCCTCAAGCGTGGCTGGCGTCATTTACCGGGAAGCAGATGCGGTGGGAAACCCTCGGCATCTTGTACACCTACTGGGCGTTCGGAGCCATATCCTCGTCCCCGGAGAGCGAGGCCGTCTCCCGGTACTGTCAGGGGCATCCATCAATCATGGGACCGAAACAGTTGATGGCTCACTTGAAGCATTATGCGTCCTTGTGCATTGATTTGTGCCGGCAACTTGGCTCTGTCAACGTCCTGTTTGTGTATCTGCTCTACAAGCACAATATCTTAGAAGGTTTATTGAACGGTGACAAAAGTAGGTAGCTCAATGGTACGCCGGAATAAATGGCCAGATACTAACTAAACAGGTCTCTCATGTTGGATGCAGCATGGCGAGCTCGTTGCGGTTACCACGTCCATAGGACTACATCGGGAGCTGACAGCTACGTCAGAACCGCCGACACTGCAGCATGAGATGAAAAGGAGGGTTTTCGCTGCAGTCTTTAACATAGATAAGGTCATATCAACTTTCACCGGCAGACCGCCAATGCTGAGTCAAGCATGTTCATCGACACGTCTCCCACTGGACATGAGCGATGAGGCGCTGCTGTCGGGCGATCTTCTGGCTGCAGCCGCTGAGCTGGACTCGCATGGATGGAATAAATACGGCCGAATTTACTCCACAACGATCCTGCGATCCCGTACAATGTTCGCACGGATTCGCCATGAGATACTGGAGCTTGTACAAGCTTCGCTGGAGGCCCGGCCAGAACAATTAATAGAACAAGCCAGGTGCGTTTTCCTCGCTGAGCCGATATAATACTAAACGTCAAACAGGAAACTGAAACAAAGGACACATGATACATACATGCAGCTACCAGAGTCGATCATATTCTCGTCTAGTAAGGTAGACAGTACAGACATTCCAGGGTATGATCTCTACGCACAGATACTCTCCAAACTTGAGTATCTGCTGAATTTGTTCCTGTTGGAACGCCTCTTGACGCGTCATGAGACAAACACCAAGCAGGTCCTAGTCGATGTAAGCCAGCACATGCTGGAACTGACACTGATATTCTGGAAGAGAAAGGATCGTTTCGTTGGTCTCTACAGTGATTTTGAGTGGTTGGCATGTTCATATCTGTTCCTGCACGACATGGGTAACACGCTGACGAAGGCAGGCAATGTCGTACGCCGTCCCCCCTAGTGGGATCCTCTGCCTCGAACTCCTGCGACCAGAATATATCGTGCATATCCCACGCTCGGACATTATCCAGAACCTCAGTTTGCTTGTTGCGTTCCTTGACTGGCTCAAGCCTTCGGCATCAGGAGATACGGTTTTGTTTATTCGGAAGATCCTTGGTCGGTGTCTGGATCGAATTCTCAATGTGCCCTGTGTTCAGGCTTCCCACCAACCTAGTCCCGATGCTCTCTTTAATCGACCATTCTCGGACGAGAGTGCTGTTACTGATTTTGCACACCTTGAACTCTTAAACACTTTTGACTGGATTGACTGGAGTCTAGCCGAGGCTGCATGATGAACCTTTGAGACTATGTGGTACCGCGTAATGGATTATGACGGCGCTGAGCTATAATTTTCTTTCTTTCTTTTTTTGTGCTTTTTTTTCTCCCCGAGGTTTTTGCTTTTCTCACGATTCTCACTGTTCGTATAACTGCATATGTCGAGTATTGAGTCTGAATAGGGGAGAAAATGGATATCTAGATCCAGGCAAGAAAGGTGCTATTCTATTTCCCACCAGACATGATGAGTTGGAGCAGTAGCCATGAGCACGCCAACGCGTCGATTTAACACATAGACATGCAACAAAGCCAGAGTGCTTCGCTAAGCACAGGGACGAGCCGGTCCCTAATCAGTTCTTTTCCTAAGAAGAGTTGTGCAAAGGAGGAGGACACCCGTCGTACCGATGGTGAGCCCCGAATACAGCTGAACCCCGAGATACGATCGCGTATCGTCCAGGATGGCGCCTGCAACCGGCGCACCGCACAGAGATCCAAAACCACACAACAGAGAGCACATCCCCATTCGAGTTCCAAGTGTCTGGAGATTTGGTGTCAAGGCCGTCAATGCAACCGCAGGGAGTGAAACGAAAGCGCCGGAGAAAAAGCCGTACAAGACGGCCAACGCTATTAGGCCGCCAGCGTTAGAGATGGCTATCCAGCAGAGTGAAAGAATGCCGCTGATGATTGCACTTCCCAGGAGAATATTCAACGGACCAAAACGCAAGCTAAGAAGGCCAGGAACGATCCGACCGGGAACTGAGGCGGCATTCAGGATCGAGACAAGGTAGAATGCAAGCGCCTCTCCCATGGCATGCTTTTGGATAGCATACGCTTCAATGTAGAAGATCGGGCTGAAGAAGCCAATATAGCCAAAGAACATCGCCATACAGAACAACGCATACGGGACCTCTTTGAACGCAGAGAAATCGGTCAAAAAGCGCCTTTGCTTTGGAACATGGCGAACGCGCATAACGCTGAGTGAGAATGATGTCGTTGCAAGAACCAGGAAACCCAGCGCGCGAGTGGCCCATCCAAACCCGATATGAGGCTGCAGTTGCCGAAAGATAATTGGGTATAATACTCCTCCAAGGCTACTTCCGGACGCCGCAATGGCTGTGGCAATCGCTCTGCGAGATGAGAAGTATTGTGGAATAATGGCCACAGAGGGAATATACAAGCATTCATTACCAACGCCAACGCAGAAGGCTTGAGCAAGCAGCACCTGCCAGTATTCTGCGCACACGCTTAAAGCCATGAAGCCAACCACAATCAGGATAGATCCTGTGGCCACCAAGACGTAAAAGTATCCGGAATCGTAGACTGGACCAGTGATTACACCGACCACGAGCAACATGAATGCCTGTATGGCGCCAATCCAGGAGATATTCGAGCTTGATTGGTCGTTGAGTAGTCCAATTTCATAGTAAGTTTGGAAGACACCGAATGTGTTCACCGTTCCCCTAGTTTATGAAAGTCCTCCGTTAGTGACGTAAACCTCGATGGCGAGTCTCAGGACAGGTACCATGAATTGAAAAATAGGAAAAAAGACCCTGCCACCTGTAGCCAGGCCTGCAGACCCCCGTTCACCGGCGCACTGTACGCAGTCTCTTCTGTGGCATCAGATCTAGCCTCCTGCTTTTCAGAAGAAGGGTCGTTTTGCTGGTTCATCATTTTGATTTTTCAGTCAAAAGACAGAACGCCTCCTTGCGATCAGTACATCAGTAAGGAGTAACACTCTAGAAGTGCATGAAATGGTAAGTTGTGCACTATTCCCACTTCTTAAGATAAAACCGTCAGGTGCGGCTTCGGCTCTCGGCTTCGGATTAAACTTGGCACATCGATGGAAAGTATTGTGTGTTGATGTCGATGTATAGGACTACTGGCTTCTATTAATCATCTTATTCTGGATTTGAGTGTATTTGTGAGGAGCACAACCCATTTGATGACTATGCAGACCAGAAGTCCTTTGTTCCCTTCCCTTTTCTACTGATAAGACTACTGCAAGGGGCCTACGTTTGGATGAGTCAATGTACAGAGATAACTGTATATATTGTTCTACTCGCTGTTCCTGCAGGCAAGACGATATCATGATTCTGCTCGAGGTGGACACGCCATCATGCAGTTACTGCCGACTAACATCTACAAGAACTAGATAATAACACTATGCATACCACAGGATGTAGAGATTAGAAGCACCATATACTCAAGTAATAAAACACTGATACTTTCATTGAGCTTACAGGTTGCATGGTAAGAAAGCTCACCAACAATCTAAGAGATGATACAGATAACTAAACCTGGGTGATTAAGGCTGTCTTCCAAGTCTTCCAGAAGTTGCTGGACGAAGTGAAAATAAAGGATATTATTCCCTGGACCTCTTCACCACCGTCATCGCAGTCGTGAGCCACTCCAGGGTACGCAGGTGCCAGAGCCTCCTTGTCTTCTTCGTCGTACTTGTTTGACTCGTACGTAGGACCCGACGGAAGTTCCACCTTGACCATCTTAGCCTCACTGGGAGTGCCCTCGCTATTCATGGCGAACAACATATACCACCCTGGAAGAATAATACCAGCGTCGTCAGGGAGCCGGGCGGCGTACTTGTTCTGAGGCAATGGCTTGAGGTCGAGAGGAACACGACGCTGGTCGGTGTTGACGGTGTGGGTGGTAGTTCCGACACGGACCAAGGAGGCAGACTTGATTTCCGTGTCTGTCTGGAATCTCAACACCTTGCCAACGGTGGCTCTCGCACCTCCGTTGATAACGTTGATGATCTCTGGACGGGTAGCTCTCTGGCCGTCGGCCGTGAAGAGGTATGGTGGAGTGAAGATCTCAGCGTCATAGTGGTTTGCCGAGCAGTTACCGCAGAGACCACCCCCACCATTGAGAACGGTAGCATCGGGCAGCAACATGGAGATACTGTGGTAGACTCGCTTGATGTTGTTGCGGCTCAGCTTCGCGAAAGTGTCTGTCTCGGGATCATAGATTTCGGGCGTGAAATTGATGTCTCCCTCGTGGAAGGGCTTGCCCCAGGTCTGACCTCCAGCGATAAAGACCTTGCCATCCGGAAGGACCACTGAGGTGTGGAAAACACGCTGGTAGTTCATTCCGCCTTCACCAGTCCCGTCGGGGCCTTTGCCGGCCACCACCACCTTGGGCTCTTTATAGGGCTCTCCCAGAGTGATGACATGGGCATTCTTGGAACCGTAGGAACCGTCGTAGTGGCGCTGGCCGCCGAACGTGAGGATCTTACCCTTGGAGGCATCGTACATCACGGCACTCCCAGACATTGAGTCGTGGTCGTCTTTGCGTTTTCCGGCCTCTTTCACGGAACCCCTGATTCTACCCTTGTAATCTTTGGCGTCGACATTGAACCAGTGCATCATCTTACTGGGACCAGCCTGGAAGACACTCGCATCCTTCCAGCCAAACAGCCAGCCGTGGTTGTCGGCGCGCCATGCGCCCAGACGGTCGTCGGTCATCATGGGGTCGACCTTGGCGCCAGAACGTCTTTCCCACCTTGCATTCTCCCCGGGAACGTAGACCTCGCCATTCTTTTCTTTTTTTTCTCCACCGCTCCAGGACCCTCCAATTGTAAAAATGCGACCGTCAGAGAGGGTTGTCGAAGCGTGGTATCCACGAGGAATAGCCATACTAGGACCTTTCACCCACGCCGTACCATTGTACACACTAGTGCGACTAGAGTCAGCACCACCACTGACGATAATGTTACCATCGATGTCCATCGAGGTACCCGGGCAGAACATGTCATGTTTGGTTTCAAAGACCGTACTCTGCGTGATGATGCCGTCGCGGTCCATGGTGGTGGTCAGTGTCTTACCACCGGGGGAGGCGAAGAACTGGTCGTCAGCCCAAGCCGACCACATGATAATATCACCATGTTGTTCGACAGCAGCGGACACTGGAACGATTGGTAGATCAATCGTGGGGCCCCAAACACCCTTGCTGGGCTCGTTTTGGGAAAAAGTGCCTTCATTGTAGGAGTAAACGGCAAGGTTTACGATAGAGATCCGCCCATTCTTGATCTGCGACCGATTGGAACAGGATTCGGTCTCGGCAACGAGCTTGACGAAACGAGCAGGTTTGGGGATAAAGGCCGACATCTTGGGACTCTTGTTTGATCCCCAAGTACCGTATGCGACTTCTGTCCAGTTTGCGCCGTCGTGAGAGAGTGAGATGCGGTGTTCGCCAATCTGGCCACGCTCAACACTCTTCTCCAGACGGGGCAGCATTGTCAGACCGGAAACGTAGTACTCTTTGCGCAGATCGACTACGATCCAGGGAGCTTCCCCTTCTTTCGCAGGGTCGCTATGCCAGTACCGTTCGCTCCGGTCGTCAATGGCATATTCGCACTCATTGCCTTCGTACTGGCTGGAGCACTGGACCTTCCAGTTCTCAGTTGAGTTCTTTACATTGGTCTTGGGGATAAGGTCCGAGTCGGGAGGAGGAGACTGGTATTTGATCCTGCCAGAAACCGATTTTGCAATATCAACTCGCTGCGCTTCGGAGGATTCATAGGAAAACTCAGCGGGTTTGAAGGCGTCGACAGCCACCGCCCCCAGGAAGAGACCATATGTCCACTGGAACTTCATTTCGATGCAGATGAAAGTCCTGTGAGTGTGGATGAGAATCAAAGAGTGAAAAGGAGATTGCTTATAAACAGCAGCCAGGTGGGAAGTATCAATAACCGCGCGCGATACGTAATGTCCGTGGCTGCCCTGGCAGTTGAGATGCAGCTCGCCACCAACACCAGTTCGCTTAGGGATCGTCTGTGGATATGCGCAGCGATGTGATGAGATTGATCTTTCAGCTCCTATACCGTCACTTGCGGCCCAGTATGAAGTTTAGTGCTGAGAATCCTTCCATGTTGGGATTGTATTGCATCTTTAGTCCCCAGTATCTCCACTTCTGTGTTGATCGCAAGCTGCATCATCACGGACAGGTCTGATATCCTGACTGCGTGTCGACGATATATGGTAGACGGTATGTCCTACACGTGTATACAATCGATTCACTTGGTGTATAGGCATGGTGTAGACCCGTATGATGTTGGATCGGAAGGATGTATGTACCAGCAAACTGGTAAGAACTGCAGAAATCCTAAGGTACCTAGAGTGTGGATGTTCCGCTTGCCCGGGAACTCGGCAAACCTGCTTCCTCAGTGATTATCTATTACGGCTGAGATCGCCCGCCATTGGTGGCTGATTGGCTGATGATCATTGTTGATCATGGTTCTACTTGACACATTGTATCATACACCCACGAACTCCCAAGTGGATCTGCTCCGCTCCACCATGCGGACGGCTCGGTCCTGCCATTCTTCCCTTCCATGTATCTATTATATTGAGATAAGAGTTTGGTTCGCAAGTTGACTTACGAATACATCTGATTGGATACGTCGAAAGTTCATATCGCTGGATGCGGATATCTCCGTACTCGTATTATCTACGATATTGATATACAACAGCACCGGTTAAGTATTTGCATGCTTCACGCTGGACTCCACTATCCCCACTGTTCAGCTGAAGAAATGCTGCAGTCTGTGCTGATGAAGATCTGAATTACTATCAATCGAAATACTAATCTATGGGATGTGATTAGTGTGATCTCAGCCGCCAGGATCCGCCAGATCAGCGTAAGAAACATTCATCATCCCCACCGTCACCACTTGGGGATGATGGACTGATCACATTGGACTTCATCGTCACAGCAGGAGGAGGGGTGGATCAACATGCCCCACATACGAACAGATCCACTTAAGTGCATGGAGAAAGGCATTGTGTAAAGATGATCCTGCCCTTCTCTGGATTGAGGAATCCACAAATCATGGTCCGTCCATTATCGATTGCTTTAGGCCGTGATGTATGATGCAGTTTCCATCTTAAATGGGGGTATGGTGGGAGGCCAAGGAGGGGGAGCTGGGCTGATCCTGGTGATGCAATCGACTACTCGCCCTCAGCCTGAATACAGACATAAAAGGGGCCGCCAGTACTCAGCAGGCGTAGCAGACCTCGTTCCCATTAGATTTTCCACATTACGCACAGATCAAAATGCCTGTCGACAAGCAAGAGCGAGTGGTCGACACTGATAACATCCAGGGCAGCATATGGCCCCGTCTCCCCAAGTACTATGAATCCTACCTCTTTTTTAAGATCACAAATAAAGAGAGGTTCAGAATACACCTCAGGGACATCCTTGACAATGGGGAGATTACCACCGGCACTCAATGCGAGGACCACCTGAAGTCAACGGGTGAGTTGGAGGAAGCATGTGCAAGCTCCCGACGGGATATTCCTGAAGCAGACCGGAAGCCTTTCATTGCAGTGAACATCGCTTTCAGCCACATGGGCTTGCTCAAGGTTCGTCTGCTCTCTCCCCTATTATGTACTTGTTTGATAGCCGTGTATTCTAATATCTTGATACTTTCTCAGGTGGAACATCCTGACGTCGAAGCGAAATTTGCCGCGACTCTGGAAAAGGATCCTGATGATTATTGTAGGGACAGAATCAACGAGGGTCTTTTTGAGAAGGGAATGTTCGATGACCTCGTCTATGAAGGTGCTGATAGCCCTGCTGCTTTGCATCCGGATTTCAGGGCTCCTCCCGAAAACGAAAAGAAGGAAGGACTTGAACGTTGGGAGTGGAGAGTGGACGGTGTCTTCATTGTCGCCGCCCATACTGCAAAAGCTGTGCGCAAGAAGATTTATGATCTAGAGGACGCCTTCAACGTGGGCGATGCCAATCGGGCCAGTATGAAGATCGCCTTCAGAAGAGATGGCCAACAGCGTCCTGGTGCAAACCGTGGCAAAGAGCAGTATGGTTTCTCCTACTTTCATATTTATTGTCTTGAATGATACTGACTCTGTAGTTTTGGTTACGAGGATCACATCTCTCAACCAAGGATTAAAGGCCTGGATGATCCCCCAGCCAAGGGTGAACCTCATGCCTGCCCTCCTGGGTGTGTCCGACCCTGTTGACAGTTTGACTATGAATTGCCCGTTAACTGGACTTAGGTACATCTTTCTGGGCCACAAAGGTGATCGCAACAAGAAAAAAGGCCCTGAGTGGGCTAAAGAGGGCAGTTTTCTCGTCTTTCGTCAGCTCGATCAAAAGGTTCCCGAATTTGAAAAGTTCCTCGAGGAGTCAGCGCCGAACATCCCAGGGACCAACTACAAGGGACCCAATGGTCCTGCAAAGCTGGGTGCTCATCTGATGGGACGATGGAAGAGCGGTAAGCCTACCGTTCTCATAACATATTATGATTCACCGACTAGGCAAAGGACTAATCGACAATCCAGGAGCCCCAGTTGCCAAGGCCGTCGATGAGGACAACCCAGATTTGGCATTCGACAACAAGTTCGATTTCAGACCCAAGAAGAGCATCAAGGGTTGTCCGTTTGCCGCTCACGTCCGCAAGATGCGTCCTAGAGCCGATAGAAAACAAGACGTTGGGACAGAAGAGGACGGCGATACCACCGAGCTTCCAGAGCCAGAAAGTGATGAGTCTGAGGCCGAAGGACAAGAAGAGGATGCTAGTGTCATCCTCCGTCGTGGTATCACCTTTGGTCCTGAGCTCACTGAGGAGGAAAAGAGAGAGAGGAGGACAATTGAACAACGTGGCATCTACTTTACGTGCTACCAGAGTCTAATTCGGGACGGGTTCAACTTCCTCATGACACGTGAGTTTACCATTTATATTCAGTTATCCGGGATCTGCTTATGATGCGAATGAATTTAGGCTGGGCGAGTAACTCATCCTTCCCTGACCACGAGGACCAGACTTTCCCCGACAAGCCTGGTATGGACCCCTTTGTCAACCAGAGACTCCGAAGAGATCATCCCGAGGGTCACATCAGTCTATATGATGGAAGTAATCCGGACGAGACTGTTAAGCTTGACCTTGGCGTCAGTCCATGGGTTGATCAGAAAGGTGGTGAATACTTCTTCACTCCTTCCATCAAGGCTTTAAGGGAGCAGTTTTCAAGTGCCATTCCGGTCAAATAGGCCATTCTCAAGCTCCTAAGGAAGACCCCGCTGGGAATTGTTTACACGCGAAGACCGCCCAGTCAGAGGAGTCAAATAGATAGGTAGAAAGAGAACCAACCAGGACCATACTGAGACATTGACTCTTTCAAATTCCAGCTTAAGGGGTCGCAATAATTATATTAGGATGAGGAGGAAGTAAAAAGCAGTAACGACGAACTCTTGAATATACAAAGTTCATCTTTTTAGAGTTTTTAAACTAGTCAAGTAATAGATCCGCAATAGTTAAAATATCGGATCTGGAATGTCGTAAGAGATTTAACAGGAGACGTGAACAGACAAAGAGACAGAAAAAATCTAAGTCCCAAATAATACCTTTAACCCATACGCAAAGGCTGCCATGCAAGGGATGTGTCAATCTCTATTGCATTGGGTGCCAAGAGTCGAACACGAGCGCCAAGAACGGAACCTGATTCTGCATATCCTCCAATTGACTCTCTAGATCGTATGGACGGCAAGTCAGGGGTTTTTGACTTTTGCGGGGAGCGACTGAGAAGAACTCGATAACAGCACCTTGCAGAAGTTGGGCTCACACACAAGCGTCCAAGTCCTGCAAGGAGCACTCGACTATATATAGTACTCCTTTGAACTTGAGCTACTCCCCAGGATTCTCCTACCATGCCACTAAAAAGGAAGTCCACAGTTGATTCAGGACAGCTTAAAAGAATCGGCAGGTCAAAACGAATAGCAGTCAACGATGGTTCCAGTACTGGCACCCAAACCAGTCCCGGCCTGGATCCTTTCGCCCGCATGAATAGAGATGTTGTGAATCTCATCTTACATTATCTCTCACTTCTAGATCTGACTTGGTGCGAGTGTGTGTGCAAAGGTTGGAGGGACACCATACACTGGTGGGTAGCTGCAGTTGGATTCCGTGTCCATTTTCCGCATATTATCTGGGATCTCCCGCGAGGGTCCAACACCGCAATCTGGGAGGCGTTCAAAGGTCAAGGTGGGTATTAATTTAGTCTATTATACATACCCTCTGATGCATCCATACCAACTTGAGTCAAGGATACTAATTTTTTTTGTTCATTTCCTCACTTACAGCCCGTCAACAACTTTGCATCCAGTCAGGCAAACCATCATCAATGCAAGAATTCAACTTCGAGAGTTACTATGATATGATAATGGTGGGAAACTTTGTAGCTGGTCGAAGGAAACTGGATGAACCAACTGTGTCTTGGCATAAACTTGCTGTTCTGGGTGGTGCCGTCGTGGATACTAAAACAGTTCCCCTCAAGAAGGTCTGGAGGGTTCATGTGGTCCTGATGTACATTGAGATGAACCAGGAGGGGATGTTACTACTGCGGCTCGGGGAGAAAGGGAAAAACCGTGCCAGGTACGTATGTAACTACCATATGGTACAATCTCTCTGCTACAGAGCAGGTCAGTTAACCCTCACAATGCTGATTAGAAGTGCTGTCTATTCGCCCATTGATGGCAAGACTGTTTGGCAGCAAGATCACAGGCATAATGACCCAAGATATGGTGTTCCAGGCGAGCTTACCCCGCTCTTAATAGGGAAGTCTGTCCTGCACTGCGCGAGACGGGGCTCAAACCGTGACACTTTTGATCTTGTTGGCATCGACTTCAGAGCCAGCAAACCTACTGTTATTTACGAGTCATCCGCCGTTAGGCCAAGAAACTGGGCCCATAGCAGAACCTGCAGAAGACTTTTAAACATAAGTGAACAGCATGAGCTTGTGGTGCTGAGTGATAATGAGAATTGGGTGGGAACAGGGAGGATTTCGATTCTTAATGGTGAAAATGGCCAGCTCCTCTTCCAGTTCAATGGCGGGCCAGCCCGTTTCTTTGATCGTAACATACTGGCACATCGGACTATCAACCAGTTTTCGATCCAATCAGTGCCAGCACGCGTCCGGCTGCACGATGCTGTACGGCCCTGGGAAGCCCATGCCAAAGCAGTGCTGGACTTCATTATCATGCAGACGTTTTCCTTCGCCTTTTCTGGGTCTGACAGCAGCCTCGTCAACATACTCCAATTGGGCACAGATGTGATTCTCAGCCCATGCAAGGATCACGCGATCGCCATTCAGCCCGTTGCGAAAGTAGCTGTCGCACTACAGTCCGACGGCAACACGCTTCTGAGCGAGAGGATTCTGAGCTACCCACTTGTCGAAACAAAAGAAACCCATCTTGTTCAGATGGCAGAGGCAGTGCTCAAAGCATCGTGTCCTCCGGATTCAGCACCCCCAAACTTGCGTCGCTGTTTCATTCTCCAGCAACCGGGAACCGAAATCAGTCTCGGACCATCATTAAGCCAATCAGGACCGCTGGCCCCTGCGCCAGATAATCAACTGCGTTCTGTCCAGGGTTTTGTTGATGGTGGCCGCCTTTTGGTGGAAGCTTCCGAGGCCCAAGTTTTGCTGGAATTCTAGGCGGATCTTTCGACCATAACTGCGCTTTTGGACCGGCAAAATTGTCGCGGGGGGAACTTAACGAATGAATCCGTCGACACTGGGATATTGATGATCGCTTGGTTGGACCGAACTCCCCGGAATTGCCGCGAGTAGACATCTTGGTCGATAATCCGTTTGCGTCGCCTATAATTATAAGATAGCTTGCGGATTTTGCCCGTCTTGACAATCGTGGCTTGAGAGCTTCTACACCGTAATGACTTGAGGAAAGATCAAATGCACGAGGATCACATGAGTCAGCCCTTCCTTTAGTCTTCCCAGCTGGGGCTGCAGTGTCAGATATAGTAGCAGTATTGGCCAGATTAGCTGAGTCCTGGTAGCCAGACATATTGCACAGGATAGTTTGACAGAATGAGCTGGATTCGCCTTCCTGCATCCACTCCACCGCGGAAGCAGGAGAGGAGTAACTGAGGCATCAGCACTCATGTCAAGCACATCGTATTTGACCAGTGGGGCCCCTTCGCCGTGCACAGACGCTGTTGTTGACGATTATGGTCATCGTTGATCGCCGTCTGATCGACCTCCCGTGCACGGTCAGTTATCTCGGCAGGGCTACCATCTCTAGAACAAGATGGGCTGTCAAATGATTGGAAAAAATGCTACTCCTGAAGGATCTACGAAATTCAATTCTGCGGTCTCGGTGGAGACTGACGATCGGATGGTGCCTGTACTTGGTGGGAGAACCCACGAACTCTTGCTGCTCGGAGGCTTTAACCGTCAGCCAGCATCGAGGACCTATTTATACCATATTGAGGACTCCGTGTACCCCCTAATGCTAGACTTCCTCTATGCTTCCTCACCATCACAGTTTATATTATTATATAGTGCCTTTTAGATTACTAAACCGAAGCATGAACCTTAATATAGAGTTAGTTTTACCCAATCTTAGAAGTAATACAAGGCTATTAAGCTTAATCTATCAATAATTAATATACTAAGTTACTAACTAATATTATACCTATCTGAAACCTAACTATAGGTTTGCAGCAAGCCTAATATTCTTAATCTCCTTATTATTTACCTTATCTTTTAAGTTACTGCTGGTGACATGCCTGAAAACTTAATATAGAAAAGCTGTAATCTTCACTACTTTACTAAACTTTTCACATGCATATCTTGAAGACTCTATAGGGTGTTATATCTGGATTTAACCTGGGAATATTAGCCATCTACTAATTAAAATGATTATATGCCCCACCCTCTAAACTCTCCTTAGGGAAGGACAGAAGGTGATTTACTAGATCAATCCAGTCTATAAGGTTTGGGATAGCTGCTATCCAACTGTGCAGTGGAACCTCCACATCCTTTAATACCTTGACAGTGTAGATGAGATACAGAACTAATGCGCTTAATACCAGACAGAAAAACGATGGAAATCCTCTGCAGAACAATTTCTCTGTATGGTTATGAAAGTGGAAATTCCAACTGATATGCATTCTGCATCTCTGGTCACTTACCTCTCCAGGATACTCTCAAGCGTCGTTGGACAGGCTAATCTGATGCTCCGTCACTATGATGGGGCAAATATGCGCCGATGCCAGTAGAAAGAAAGTGGCTGCTACAACTGTCCCAAAGGTCATGTCCTGGTTGGGTTTGCCGCCTCACCACGTACCAGTACACTCTCTCTTGGGGAGTGTAACAAACGAATAACACATAATCTTCGATCCATTCAACTTATGATTAACCTCGGTATGAGTTCTACGTTTAAAATAACAGTACGAGCCATATAGCTTCGCTCTTGATGATATAAGGGTTCGACAAACCGACTGTTCCCATCTGTCCAGAGTAGAGACTCGATTGTTCACATGGCCATACTGCTACAAGGCACGAAGTCGCTCACTACCTTCCAAAGCCAGGTGGCAGTCAACGGAATGCCGCTCACGGGACCGGTAAGAACGCTAAGGACTGCCTTAAGGCCAGTACAGTAAAATCCTTTCTTAGTATTCTTACCACGAAATGAAGCGGGAAGGAAAAGGAGGTCTTGCATATGAATTACTTGTATGGATAGTAAGCAGCCAGTAGGCAGTCATCCGTGGGGTTTGAGTTCTCTTATTCATAGAAATCGAGACTTTGGGGAGTTCTCATGCTTGATCTTGGGTAACATTAGAGAAAGCGGAAAGCAGCGGAGTGGCGCTGACTGGTGAGAACGCTAAGAACAGGGGCTTATGGCCTGTACAGTAACATACTTCTGTATTATTCCTGCCACAAAATGGACGTGAAAAGAAAAAGACGGGCTCGCATACGAAAGATTTGCATGGGTCGTAAGCAGCCACTTGGGTGTCATCTGATGGGTTAATGTTCTCTTGTTGATAGAAGTTGAGTTGTTTGCTATCCTCATGCTTGAATACAATCTGCTGTGTCACGGGTTACGTTAAAGAAATTCCCTATGCAGGGGTATGATAGGATACTAACAGCGAAGTTGATTACTCTGTACAGATATCAGGCCATAAATGAGGGGTCTTAAAAAGATGAAAGCAACGTATGTGGTCCTCTGACAACATATCATTCATAGCTGTTGTA